CAGCAGACTTTCAGATGTATTACAGACTTTGTGATTTTGTTTTGGTTGAAATGCTTTAAGATGCACTTTCCACTGAAATAATCAAATATTGTGATGTTCTTTTCAGAACAAGCAATCTGACTTGCTTGAAAAAAAATTCAGTTTTTCCCAGCTCAAGCATGTTGATATGGTTGGAATTTTCAGACTCTCTGATGCTAATTCAGACTAAAAATAAAACCTAATAACACTTTAAGGATTTTAAAAACATGTAGAACAGCAGTGTTATGTTGAAATGATGGTGTAATACTGTTATCACTAAACAAAGTAGATATACAAAGTTCTGACAGCAGCTCTGTAACATCCAGTTGCTTTAATAGATATAAAGTGTTTGGGTTATTGATGGTGATTGCTTGTCGGACCTCTATCCAACTGTTACCTGTGTTCCACCTATCGGCTCTGACATATTCCATGTGCTAAAGAATTAGCCCCATTTTCCAAGGATTCTGTCTCTAAAAAAGTCATTTATGTCCAGGGGAATGAGACCTCCCCCCTAGGAGAGGCAGGGCCAGAAACTTAACCACCATGCCAGGACAGCTCAAAATACTTTATTGATAAAATTGGATGATCTAAAAAGCATTTAACTTAATTTTCCTGTGAAAGGAAAATAAATACAAATGGGATTTAACTGTGGCTATGTGCCCAGACACTTCAGGCTTTAGTGAATATAGATGATAACCTAATGCTTATTAGATTGAACTTGTGGTCTCACTATGTACAAGGATAGCAAGACTTTGTCTGAGAAGAGATTAACTTCTCATTTGTCTACCAAAGTTTGTCTAAATTAAATTGAGTTTTTGCTGTACTTGACTGTAATATAATTAGAGGCTACTGCAGAGTATGTAAGGAGTGCACATGAGGGACTCTAATTAGATGGAGCGAGGTAAACTCACACCAGGAGATGCACTTGCACTTTGTGTATTGGGCTTGTCATGCGCTCTTGTGTTGCATGTGAGGGTTAGATAGAATCTTATTGGCTCCAATGCTTTACAAAGAGTACAATCAGATCTGTGAACAGAACAAATATTTTCTGCTGTGTTCATAGCGTACAAACAAGATTAATTTATATATTTGACAGCCGAAATTGTCTAAACATTAATTTATGTTTCTCAATTGAATCTTATCAGTTGGTCGTACAGAGCAGCCACAACTGAAGTAATGGGTTTTATTCTGCAGTCTGTTATTTAAGCATCCTATAATTAAGGATATATGCTACCTTACAAATACTTGTGATTTGTTGTTGGCAATATCTCCATGTACTTAAGGGGGTATATGCTAGCTTCTTCATATATGGTATTTGTATCAGAGTTATTTCCCTTATAAAATGTTTTCTTTAACATGTAATAATTCTGGATTAGTTGGATTATTATCACAACACCTCTTTTTCAGCAAAGTCTAAGCTAGTATAAAAGGTGTTATGTATGTTTCTATATAATTCAGAAAGACAGGATATAGCTCTAATTGAGGGAACCATATAAATTGATAGGCTTCAACAGTTTAGAGAAAATGTTTCTGGCCACATTGTATTGGGAATCTGCAATGCTGTGGCTTCACGTCTCTTTTATCCAGTGTGATATATATAGAGATGAATCACACATATTTAAAAAAAAAATTTAATTCAACAAAAATTAGGCTGTTCTTAAATAACCTTAGTGAATCTCATTATAACTGAATTGATTTGGACTGATGTGAAACAAAACTTATGGCTTATTAGGTTCGGATCTATTTTACATATTGGTGATAGACTCATCTACAGCAAGGTCACATACATATTTTAAAATTAGACCAATTTTGTAATTACATAATGACAGTTCCTATCTGAGCTATTTCTTTAATCTGCACTCCTCAGGGTTTGATAATTTCAAAGATTTGTATTGATCATTGGGTTGTATTGCCTAATGAGCAATATTAGACGGAAGAGAGCCAAATATTTCTTTCAATTGTTTGAAGACCATTTTCATTCTCAGTGGTATTCACAATCTGTATTCCAAAAACATAATCATCATTTTTTCACACATGAATTATAAGGTATTTTAAGTTTAAAATTATGAAATGATTGATGTGCATCGCTGTGAAAATACTTTTAGCTTGTGTGGTATATATACCAGGTTTAGTGAGGTCTACTAGAAAGGGTATGTCTATCCCTCGCGGCAATCTGGATTTAATTTTATCTTAGATGTTGTCAATTATCAGATAATTATATAGAAATGCAATCAAAGGGAACCCTGCATGTTAAACTTATACCAGAGTTTAAATGTCAAAGGAATCCCTTTCTTTTTAAGTTGGACATTCTTTCAGTAATGCTGGGATTTTCTCAAGCGGGTTTTCTTATCTTTAGACGGTTCATTTTAAGTAGATAACTAAATTTTGTCTTGTAAATTTTCTCTTTAGACATAAAAGACTTAAAATTTCTAGTCAGTATAGCAACTAGATTAAATTAAGCCATTAAAAATTGAAATGTTGTTCCCACAATCAGTGGACAGATCCGAGGAGGCTAATACATCAACAGTAACCATCTCACACTATCGAATATGTTACAGTGGACTAAACCATACTCTCTGCAATCCTATGCCCAATCCAGTCAAATCATTCCCAATTCCAACAATATTATAACAATGGACTCTGTACAATCAGGAACTCTCTACAAACCAGTCAAATCATTCCCAATTCCAACAATATTATAACAATGGACTCTGTACAATCAGGAACTCTCTACAAACCAGTCAAATCATTCCCAATGTCTGGTTTTGACAGATTCCACTGTATAACTGTTAGACCTCTGGTTTAGACAGATTCCACTGTATAACTGTTAGACCTTTGATGAATTTACTGTTTCTGTCTACACACAAATGGTGTAGTTTTTTCATGTTTGGTGATGAATTATATTCCATAGTTAAACAGAAATGTTGACTGATTTGTTTTATTTCTTGTTTTAAACAACATGGCTTTGTTATACTATTTCAGTTGTTTAGAATTGCCCTTTTCCCTAACTTGTCTTAATTCTTCAGTGAGCAAAGTGTCAATATTTTGTTGATATTGTCCTTTTCCCTAACTTGTCTTAATTCTTCAGTGAGCAAAGTGTCAATATTTTGTTGATATTGTCCTTTTCCCTAACTTGTCTTAATTCTTCAGTGAGCAAAGTGTCAATATTTTGTTGATATTGTCCTTTTCCCTAACTTGTCTTAATTCTTCAGTGAGCAAAGTGTCAATATTTTGTTGATATTGTCCTTTTCCCTAACTTGTCTTAATTCTTCAGTGAGCAAAGTGTCAATATTTTGTTCCTTTTCCCTAACTTGTCTTAATTCTTCAGTGAGCAAAGTGTCAATATTTTGTTGATATTGTCCTTTTCCCTAACTTGTCTTAATTCTTCAGTGAGCAAAGTGTCAATATTTTGTTGATATTGTCCTTTTCCCTAACTTGTCTTAATTCTTCAGTGAGCAAAGTGTCAATATTTTGTTGATATTGTCCTTTTCCCTAACTTGTCTTAATTCTTCAGTGAGCAAAGTGTCAATATTTTGTTGATATTGTCCTTTTCCCTAACTTGTCTTAATTCTTCAGTGAGCAAAGTGTCAATATTTTGTTGATATTGTCCTTTTCCCTAACTTGTCTTAATTCTTCAGTGAGCAAAGTGTCAATATTTTGTTGATATTGTCCTTTTCCCTAACTTGTCTTAATTCTTCAGTGAGTGAGCAAAGTGTCAATATTTTGTTGATATTGTCCTTTTCCCTAACTTGTCTTAATTCTTCAGTGAGCAAAGTGTCAATATTTTGTTGATATTGTCCTTTTCCCTAACTTGTCTTAATTCTTCAGTGAGCAAAGTGTCAATATTTTGTTGATATTGTCCTTTTCCCTAACTTGTCTTAATTCTTCAGTGAGCAAAGTGTCAATATTTTGTTGATATTGTCCTTTTCCCTAACTTGTCTTAATTCTTCAGTGAGCAAAGTGTCAATATTTTGTTGATATTGTCCTTTTCCCTAACTTGTCTTAATTCTTCAGTGAGCAAAGTGTCAATATTTTGTTGATATTGTCCTTTTCCCTAACTTGTCTTAATTCTTCAGTGAGCAAAGTGTCAATATTTTGTTGATATTGTCCTTTTCCCTAACTTGTCTTAATTCTTCAGTGAGCAAAGTGTCAATATTTTGTTGATATTGTCCTTTTCCCTAACTTGTCTTAATTCTTCAGTGAGCAAAGTGTCAATATTTTGTTGATATTGTCCTTTTCCCTAACTTGTCTTAATTCTTCAGTGAGCAAAGTGTCAATATTTTGTTGATATTGTCCTTTTCCCTAACTTGTCTTAATTCTTCAGTGAGCAAAGTGTCAATATTTTGTTGATATTGTCCTTTTCCCTAACTTGTCTTAATTCTTCAGTGAGCAAAGTGTCAATATTTTGTTGATATTGTCCTTTTCCCTAACTTGTCTTAATTCTTCAGTGAGCAAAGTGTCAATATTTTGTTGATATTGTCCTTTTCCCTAACTTGTCTTAATTCTTCAGTGAGCAAAGTGTCAATATTTTGTTGATATTGTCCTTTTCCCTAACTTGTCTTAATTCTTCAGTGAGCAAAGTGTCAATATTTTGTTGATATTGTCCTTTTCCCTAACTTGTCTTAATTCTTCAGTGAGCAAAGTGTCAATATTTTGTTGATATTGTCCTTTTCCCTAACTTGTCTTAATTCTTCAGTGAGCAAAGTGTCAATATTTTGTTGATATTGTCCTTTTCCCTAACTTGTCTTAATTCTTCAGTGAGCAAAGTGTCAATATTTTGTTGATATTGTCCTCCCTTTCTTTGTTTCCTACGTTTCTTTATTTTTGATATCAGTATGATAATCATGTGACAATCTTATTCTGTAATGACATTAGTGTGATAGTGAATATCTCCAGCATGCCTAGATACATTGTGATGTTTACTGTTCAGCATGTCTTTATTGATATCTGATGTATAAATGATACAAATATACACAATTCAATCAATTTTAAATAGTTTATTGTGTTTTTTCACCATCATCAAAAATTAAGCAGGCAGAGTGATACTATGTATAAAAAGACAATAATAGCCATTCACTCTGTCTTAGAACACATTCATGTATTTATGAAAAAATCTCTCAATTCCTTTTCCCTTCCCCCTTACGGATCGCCTTATTGAAGGTGCAATGAACCTATCAAACATAATTTGCTCATAATCCATGTTAAAATTGCTTAAAAAGCACTGCAGACATTGGTGTCCAATGATACAGTGGAACCCACTTAATGTCACATCTGTTAATGTCACTTTTCTGTTAATATGATGTTTATTTGTAGTTAATAAATCACTTTAAAACACTACTGTGAAACTGCTCCTCAACAAAAGCACTTTATAGCAAAGTCATCAAAATGCACAATATTCTCATAAGTTTCTTGTAGCAGTGATTTTCTGTGAGTATTTAGCACTGAAATTCTGTCTACAGTTCCATAAGGTGATTTCAGGTTAAACAGATCCAACCCACACCATATTGTGGTAACCTTCATCATCTGTATTCAGCTTGATGAGCTATGTCACCTGTATCCTGCGTGATGACTTTCCCCAGTCTTGGAGCTAGGGTTCCCAAAAGCATTATTAGACACAATGTTTTGCACTAGGTTCATTGCGGGTGGCATTGTTGGTGTCACTGATGATGTCATCTGTGATGTCACAGGTTGAAGAGCACTTGCCGCTGAAGAGTTACGAGAGTCACTGTGACCATGAGATATGTTACTGTTCAGGACAATAGAGGACGGAATTAATCCCGGGGTCATGGACACTGGCTCAGTATTACGAATCACATTTGGTCGAACGCTTTGAACTAGCTGTGAAGGAGTCAAGTTTTGAACAAAGCTCACCGGTTGATTAAGACTCTGTACAAGAACACTGTGGTTAAGAATGTTTTGCTCCATGTTGGAGTGTGAGAGTTGATTGGATGATGGCGTGGTGTTGGTGATCATGTTTGATTGGAGATGGTGAAGATTCGGGATCTGGTCTGTGGACTGAGAGCGACTAGAGAGAACACTAGGGGTAAAAGATCGGGATTGATAATGGCGGGGCGTATACTGCAATCCAACAAATTCCTCCTTGGCTTCAGGAAGGTCTTTAAAGCAATGATAGTGTACAGCATTATTGACCAAGTCCTGTACTTGAGGAAAGTTTTTGAAAGCTCCATTCTTTTGTAGTTGGTATAAAATACGTCTGTGAAGAAATGGGTACCTTATATTAACAAGAATATCCTCAATAAGTGTCTTATCACTCAAGTTGTTTTTCTTCATCCAGTCAGTGGCGGAGGTGAGAATCAGATTTTCCTCCGCCATGCAGTCGTCTGACCGAAGAAGGTCACACACAAGCTGCCAGCTACAGGTTTGCCACCTGTCACTTGGTACCAATTCTTTGAACTTGGCACACAAGACTTTGAATGATAGATTCCGAATGTCCTCTGGGAATAAGTTGCATTCATAAAGATCACAGACAACCTCAACTTGAAATCCACGAATATTTTCGTAAACTCCCATCATATTGTGTAATATCTGAGTTACATAACTCTGACAGTGGTGTACTAAAGACTTGACCGAATATTTCGCCGCCAGTTTGTGAAGTGGGAGCACGTAGTCACGGTGAAGCCAAACCGCGCCACTATATATAAAGTAGAGAAATCGACTAAACACAAGGCTACACTCAATAGACTCGTGAAGACACAATACAGGCTTTTCATCTGAATCCAAACCACTTATTTCATTTAGTAAAGCAGCCAATCGGTCACTTTTCATTCCAAGTATCATTTTATGGCCATTGAACACAAATTGGCCATCATTGACGTTTAGAATAACGTCACTCAAAGTTTCGTTGTCAAACAGTGATTCAAAGGACTGTGATGTTTTTACTTTTTTACTTCCATCATTGATGTTGTCTGCACTGATTTCTTCTGTCCCGTTTTCTGGGGGCTTTGATGGGTCAGGGTAGTGTTGACCGCTTGGACTGAATCTTTTCATTCTCTGACCACTGCATTTTACCACAAGCCGGCGGAAAAGTTCATGTATGGCGTTGCCCCTCGTTTTGTCTGTGATGTGTTTACGACACGTTATGGAGATGGTGAATGTTTCTTTCTTTCTCATACACCTATCATTTCTAAAGCCCAAATCTGAAATTATATAAAAAATGTTTTAATTGAATGCAAATCTGCTGATAAAAGTCCTATATGTAAATATAATTCCTTGTAATTGATTATACATCAAAGATTAAGAATTGAAGTGTGTCAGACGAAATGTGTAGACAAAGAGATTTTATGATGTCAGTGTGTGTTTGAATGTAGAAGGATTGCTATTCACAACTCAAGCTTGTCACTAGCACAGTCCCACACTTTACTTGCCCAGCAGCCGGAACAAATTTCACATTAATATCCTCTTTTGAAAAACTGTGCTAAAACTTCTTTTTTTCCTGTACATAAATGTCATCTAGTGTGTGATTAGGTGTAAACTACACCTTCAGGTTGTTCTGACGAAACATTCTATAAAATCTAAAAGCAGAAAGGAGCACCTGCTGAAGAGGAACATCCAAGTATAGTGTCTATGTGTGATAGTCGAATGATGAGGGGTCATACAGAGGCAGCCTTATGCCAGCAGTAACTTGATTGTTGGCCTTATATATCAAGCCTGCTGTTCTCCAGTCAGGTGATCAAGCCATCATGTAGGCTAATTAAAACTCTCCAATCAATAATACATGCAAACTGAAATCTTATTCTGACTGCGCGGGTTGGTGAATGCATGGGCAGTGTGGCAACCTGAAAATACATCCGCCCCAACACTGTTACCCCTCCCCTTTTCCCCTTCGCGAATCCTCCCTCCCTTGGGGACGGTACATGCACTTTTGTTCATCACAAAGGCTGCAATATCTGCAAACTACCCGAGTTACAACCAATTACAGACAAAATGCATAGCTTTGTGCAATGGATATTTGAAATAAATTTTCCAACCCTATGCAGATACAGTGAGAGGAGGTAGGAGAGCGGATTGTGACATTTGACATGAGGGCAGACATGTCGGCTAATTACATTAACACTGACGAATGAAAAAACTGATTAGATAAGAGGTGGTCATAGTTACGGGTTTAATTATTGTTAAACTGATTATCTAATTAACACACCTGTACTTACAGGTATCTTATGGGCTCTTAAGTCAGCTGTGTAATGAGCTTCGTGTAGGTCTGACCTGTCTGAATGAACAACATATGAATTATTGAGATGTGGTGGAAAACAGAGAGATGATTGAGGAAATGCTGTATAGCCACAACCACTCTCGGTCCACTTAAGATAAAACTGATTACATAAATGTGATTTTCACATAACTGGCATTATCATTTTCACATCTATCTATAATTTTCTTGGTTTAACATATCTTGGGTGTTCTATCATTCCAAAACATGCAAAACTTTACTCTTAAACATGTATATAGTAACTGTCTATTACCAGTCTTGCTTGTATTTTATCTAAACATTATACGCTCGCCACACTCTACTACTGCTGAATAATTCAGAACTTAACGGTATAAATTTCAAATGCAAATTGCTTATTACCGTCATTATTTATCGCAGGAAGTTATCGCATTATGTTATTAACTATTTTAGAAACCATATGTTGTTTGACAGATTAAAACAAAAACAAAAAGGAAATATTTGTAAGCTGTAGAGATAGAAATGAAAAAGTTTGTAGCAGTCATGTATCTTATTAGCCAAGTAATGCAGTTATACTCCATCCTCATGGTATTTTAGCAATCACGTAGTTAGAATAGAATCTGGAAATGAAAAATTTTTTTAGAACCATTGGCATAATAACAAGAACACTTGAAAAGTACTTCAAGTTGTATACAATCAATCGAAGTCAAGGAGCTCAGGACATAATACTGTAGGTAAGGTGTATTCAACTACGTACCTTGGAGCGCTGCCTCCAGTCTGTAACTAAACCAGTCTACTACAGGTCTAGATCCACATACTCCTGCTTTAATAACCCATATTTAAACTGCCCCAAGCATTTAATCAGCACAGACTATTTGTCTGACAACCATAATCTGGGTTAATACAAATGTTTGCTGGGCGATTGATTTGCATTGCCCACTAGATTAGGAAGTTTGTATTTCTCCACACTAAGGCTAGTACCAATCAGACTATTCTATGTGTCAATCATACGATTGAAATTGATCAGATTTAGTACGACATGGTGTATGTGTTTAACAATGACTCGTGCACACTTGATAAATATGCTTAGGTTTTTTGTGGGGCTGTTTTCTGTTATGTGTTTATCATGTTGAACACATTGGAGTAGTCAGTGTGTCTGAGTTAGGTGGGACCAATGCATTCTTCATAGTTCTTTTGATAATCTTTTTCAGAATTGTGGGTTAAATTAAGTGCTGGCTGGAGAAAAAATAAGGAAATTGCTAGTTTTTAAGGACATTTATCAATGCAGCTGCCAGAAATCAGTGTTTTTGCTCAGTCTGAGTCAGGGGTCGTTCCCAAAGTCCTGCACAACTCTTGTCACAGAGCCCTATTACCGTTTATCGGACAAACATTATGCCGGAATTTGTAGTGATAAACTTTCAAAATGTCAAGACTTAAGAAAGACTTTAATGATTAGGAAATTATAATGTATAAGCAGATCTGATGCACTGATGAGTTTGTTTAGCATGTAAAAGTGGTTGTCTTGGGACTTGCCAGATGTCTGTTGTCCGATGAAGGGCCCAACAAGCCACATTTTATGGTCCTTAAACCATTTCCAAGGTCAGCATACAGACATCTTAATCCTTAGGGTATTATTTAAAATACATTTAAATTATACATGCATTTGGCTTCTCATTTGATTTGATTTGGCATAGTTATGAAAATTCATGCAAAATGTTGATTTAGAAAGGTCTAATTATCTATTAAGTACTTCTAATGTATTTTCTCTAGTGATGTTAAATGACGATTTCAAAAAAAGAAATATTTTTTTGACATATGTTACAGTGAAAGAAGAATTTAATGATACCTTAGAGCAGAAAGAAATATTTCAATGAAACCTATAAAAGTGAGAGTGTTTCCTGAGAGACTGAGATATTAATGTCAGAAAACATAGTTCAATGTAAAGGATGTTGACTATAGAAATTTGAGATCCATACAATTTAATGCCTCAGATGAAAATAGTGAAAGTTCTTGATATTAATGGTAGATACATTGATCCTTGTTATTATTGTTGGTACTGTGTTTTTACCGAGCTATTCATGGCCATTATCGCATCAAGATGTACTACAGCCTAGACTACAGTATTGGTAAGAACTTACCAGACCAATATCACTGTCCAGTTAGCTGTCCAGAAGGATAATGATCTGAAGACCTCCCAGACACAAACCCAAACTGGCACTACTTCAGGTGATGGAAAGCGAAAAGACAATTTTCTGACAGTAAGGATGGCTTGTGGACACATTGTCCACTCAGTGGTCACTAATGTCCAGTCACCTTGTAGGGTCAGTGCACAGATGTCTGGACTGGCGACAGAGGTGTCAGAGGAAGGTGTCCATACAAATGGATGACCTGCGGCTATTTGTTTGGAAGTAGGCATGAGCATGATGGCATGTCCAGGATGATTGACAGTGTGTAGACAGGAAGACTTGGACACTTGACCAGAGAGATGTATATGATCAGTTATGATTGCAAGGGTGATATGGCCCATTAGTCGTTTGTCAAGGGCCTACATGGAGGGCCAGTGATAATAGACATAATCATGATTGATGTATATACCTTACATAGTAATGACCATTGTCACTGATGACAGCCTTAAATAATAAACTCCATAATCCTCTAGATTTGTAGGTACCAGCTGTTTTATTGATTTCTACATGGCCGTTTTATGAGCTGTTTTATGAATACAAAAACAAGAAAAGTAAACTATTTCTGAAATTTTTACTGTCATGCAAGTTGTTTCGTTGTAAATGATGTACTCATGGGAAAGGAATTTTCTGATATTTACATAAAATGTTGTAATTGATGTGAATAGTTTCTTTTCATTTGAATGTGATATAGGTTCCTACCAGAGATATGTTATATATTACATTTCACAATTAAAAGTGACTGACTCACTCTGATAGAAAAATAAGATATGATATGAGAACCATTGTTATTAAATCAGGACACCATTGCCCCCTAAAAAGCACCAGAAGACTAGCCCTATGTTTAACAACAGGATAAAAGCTTGGAAGTGTAATAAATTAACAAATATCACCAACTTTTAAACAAAGAATGAAGACATAATGAGAAAAAGATTACTGGAAAGCTATTAAAAACATGGCTGCATTCCTTGACAATTTTGTGTGATTGGAATGAAGATGGAATAGATGAGAAAGCTTACCTTGATGAAGATTAATCTGTTCAAACTAAGTAAACTGTTTCATTAGAAGATCAGGTTTAAGTTGACTTGCCTTTGCTCCCCAAAGTGTTTGTTTTATCATACTCCATTACAAATAAAAGTAAACGTTTATTCGTCTGTAGTCGGTGTTACACAGTCGTAATATTTTATTGGTTAAACTTGCACCCTCATCTGCCTTGTGTGGTTTAGCTCCATTGGTTCAGATTCTTTTCCTTACAATTATTGATTTTATGCCTGAATCACTGAAACGATATCAGCTGGTTACCTTGGAGATATTATCTCCATACCCAGGGTACTTTTGTTGGTTGTACTTGGTAATTTTCTGTGTAAAGGTTTATGACTATACAACTTTTAGCCTCTAGTTATATTTCATTTATGAAACTTGATATGATTCAGACAAAAAAAAACAGGAATTAAAAAAAAACCAGTTTACCCTTTGAGAATGAAACTGTTTTATGCCCTTTTGATTTGACCTAAGAACAGTTACCTGTCTAACATGTACTTTTACCCAAACCCTGAAGTCTAATTAACTTTGCAAATCTTTTATATCTGAAGAATGTACCTTTCAAGTGTAATTATATGGAAATATAAGGGAAAAATACACATTGATTTTGTTCAAATTTCTTTTAATTTTTATCAACCACTATAGAAGAGTGATGTAAACTGACAACTGCAAAACTTTACTGTTTTTCAATGATTTTTCTTACTTTTGTTTAAAATTGTTTCAGTGATGATAAGGTTAATAGTTAGTG